TTTTGGAGTTGGTAGAATTTTCTACTATTTAGCCACTTCGCCATTTGACCTATAGATAGGATTCATAAGAAAAGCTTATCATAAAATCTCAACTACAGGGAAATAATATGATGATCAAAAGCAAACAGCAAGTAAAAAGAGATTTTTCCCTTTCTGACTATGCAATGCTCTTTTGTTGCCACTACAGTAATTCTTTAATGTCATGGAAACTATCTGATAATATATTAGAAGCTCAATATATTTCATAATATTGAGGTAGCAAAGCAATAGGTATTGTTGACAGAGAACTTCTGTTCGGAGTGCCTATTTTAAGGAAGAAAATATATCTAAAAATAACAATCATACTTTGAGCTGTTTACAACAACAACTATAAACAGTTTTAGAAAACCTGAAAGTAAACTACACTAACTATATTAGATCATTGGAAAATGTGGTAGAATGTTAGAAAAAAATAGGCAAACCTTGAAATGACAAAAACTAGATACACTGATTTAAAATTTAAGTCTTACTTTTGGACAGTTTGCTTTACCTAATTTATGTATTTTTAATGAGGGCAAGGGGGACAGGAAGAATACCATGAATTACAGGCAGGTTTTCTGTCCAATTTCTCAAGATGCTAAACATGAATTTATAAAGCACATGATCTTTTTAGGCATCTGTATGTATGTCTCTGGACACTCCCCTACCATTACAGGTACTGGCAGAAACACAAATGAAGTCCTCATTCCCCTTTTACACTTTGTTTTCACGTGTCCACTACAACATACCTTTTTTTTTTTTCCAACCAACTGCTTTCCAACATTGCAGTCCTACCAATCTACCTCCAGAGACTTCTAAGTAAAAAAGAGTATCTACACAAAATGAAAGTAAAATAAGCCTCTGATAAATAATACAGTTATTCAATGCAGAACAAGCACGATTTGAGGTTTGGTTAACAAATGTGGGCTGGGTTTGACTAAGGCACAGAGGTGGAAGTACTCAGTCCCAAACAAAGTGCCCTTTGCCAGGACAGCTCTGCCACAAACCAGTTATCTAGGGGACCTGCCATCCTCGACGATACCAACCGCCTCTTTAAATGTAAAGCCAGGAGAAAAAGCCAGCTTTTTGGATTGTGGCTCTTGAAAGCCTAAACTCAGCCCAGCAGAACCTCAGAAGGCACATCTTATTTTCTGAGTGCATTAAATGTTTGTTTACAAAAGATTCAATATACAAACTTCTGTTAATTTAAAAAAAAAAAAAAAAAAAAAAAAAAAAAAGAGCTAACAACGAAAAACCCCCAAGAGTAATAACTTAATTTCTCTGGATCTCTGGATTTTTTTTTTTCTTTTCCTGGAATGAGCAACAAAAATTCTTATTGAAAATTGCAGTTCTTCTTGTTACATTTCCTAAATAGCAGATCACCCTTCAGACTTATACTCAGCATCAAAACATAGTCTCTTCTATTTCTATTTCCTGAAACATTTTTATTACCAAACAAACAACGACGATGCTGTCTTATCTATCTGTTTTTGCAATACAGGCATGTATGTTCACAGAAAGCAACAGACTGCATTAAAACACTACCAAAACAAGCCATTTCACTATATATGACTCTGCCCCTAGGGAAAGGAATGAGAGCAGATAAGATGTGACAGATGTGTAGTCATGTCACTTAATACACTACTGGAAGGTGCTCAAATCATTATGGTGACAGGCATAGTATAAAAACTTCCAAAGAATGGACTAAGTATTTATCTAGTTTTATGCATACATGATTCTTGTAATCAAAGAAGATACTGAAGTCCATAAAAGTGCTGTTTGAGAGAAGGCAGCCTGCAAACATCAATATGCAATATATAATCATTTAAAAAGAAAAGAAGAGAGCATAGCACACATGTTTTTGTCAGCAAAGCCCCTCCATTGTGAATATGAAATATGTCTAAGGTTGAATTCAAGATCTGTCCTCTAAAAGTTTCCCATACTGAAATATTTCCTAAGAGGTTTAATTAAACTTGAAATTTACCCAAAACAAGAAGTTTAAATAAGCTTAGCAACTGTAGATCTCCAAACTGATTTCATTTTTTGCTGAGACTTTAACAAGCTATTTTGCTGAAATCTCTTCTCGGTTTTGGGTTGAAAGACCCAAACAGCAAGGATGAAATTGGAAATCATATGATTACTGGACTGAAGTAATAAGACTGGTCACTTGTTTGAAGATAAGTATAAACCTAAAAGTTTAAAGATTAAGGCGTTCAGGCAACTGCCCAAGGAAAGCATGAAAAACCCAGGAGGAAATTGTTTCCTCACTTCTTTTAGGTTTAATAATCCTGAATGGTACAAATATCAATGGAGATCAAGAATATTTCCAAACAGTAGCATGACTTTTAACTGCCAGTGTCCCTTCAGCAGGGACACTGCTGTTTCACATAGACCCTTAGGCCCAAATCCTGCAAATTAATCTGCCCCAGGTAGATCCCTGCGCCTCTGGGAATCCGCATTAAGTCAAAGAGGGAAAACTAACTCACAGGATCAAATTCTTAATTTGAAGCTGGACCACTGTAACTCATTATGACACTAATCATAAATGTCTCACCACCACTCTCTGCTCCCCATCTGTTTGTTTTATCTTATTATAGTTTTATATCTCAATCCATGGGACTAGCTACAGTGGTCAAATTAAGCCTATGTTTTTGCAGGAGCAGGTCCTCAGACAAAGGCAACGTTTCTCTTACGCTTGCACACGCGATAGTTTATACCCTGAATGGGACGATACAATCGAATGAAATAATTGCAATATCAATTTTTTAATTTATACAAATACAAATCTCAGCCTTTTCCAGTAATCTAGCCATTTAAGCCAAAGGATTAAGTCCATCCACCTTCTGGAGTGCAGCAACTAGTATTTTCAAAGGAAATAACCTGTGTGTCAAAAATGACCTGCAAAAGTATAAAACTGAGCTTTCAAATTATTTTAAAGAAGTATTTGCTTCTTTATCATACTCTCACAAAACAAGGATAAAGAGTCATAAAATAATACCCACTGCAGACTACAGAGTCAAATCCACTGGCACCAACAGACCTTAAAAACTGAGGAATGCTGAAGGTGGGGGGCACATTCTGGTACAGCCTCCCCAGCTCCCCAACACCTCCCAGTCGGTCACTGGTGGGCACGATGCCGTGGGGCCAGACCAGCCTCTCTTTTGACCCAGTATGGCCATTTGTGCATTCTTACAGGTATCCCACGGAAAGAAGCCTCAAATATTTTCATGACAACTCCACTAGAATTAATCCTAAAACCCTACTATGAATTAACTTCAAAAAAAAAAAAAAGCCATTAAGGTGTGAGTATCTGGGGGGGGGGGGGGGCTTTGCTTTTTTACAACTTCTCCCTTCTTATGAAAAAGCGGGGTTAAGCCCAATTACACTTTTATTACATATTTCAATACTCTGATTAACAAATTTGTCAGATAGGTAGAGGAGAGAATGTGAGAAATATACTTGCTCCCAAAGCAAAAATGAGACAGACATAAGATGAAACCTATGAACCTTGCTATTTTCCAGAACGATCAGCACAAACCATGCTTATTTTCACTACTTGTAACAGAAAAGAAGAATAGTAAGGAAAAAAAATAAATTCAGAAAACTAAATAAACCATTTGAGAATTCAGAGTAAAAGAAACACTTCTGGAAGGCCATTCCTCCTTCCTCACCAGAGATAATTCTCAGGTGCTTCTGGGCCCCTGGATTTGTACTGAAGTTCAGGAACTGGGATTTAGGGGAAGCATTTACACAGCATGTAACATGAATACTGGCATCCTTTCAAAAGTAGTATGCTGGATCATAATTTTCTTTCCCAAATTAGAGGTTAAATCTGCCAGCAGAAACTCAACCGGAGCTGGGATACGCAGTAGTGTCTTGCCTAAGACCTGATTGGCAGCATCTTTCCTCTCAAGAGGCTGGAGCTCATGGGACCTTTCGATTTCAAAACCCAGCAGAAGCCAGGAGCTGGGAGTTACCTATTCACAAACGCTCTAAGGCATTGAACATAAGCCCGCGGGCTGCATTTGGCACCAGTGGGACAGGCTGCAGACCCACACGTTACCAGGTTAAGATCCTAAAAACCAGTTTCTCTCTGCTCACAAGTCAATTTACCCTTCTCAGAATTACTGTTCATTTAGGCCAACTGCTGAGGGTTCCCAAACCAAAATACTCACACATATCCTGAGAGCCTTGAAAATTCAAGTCACAGTATGAGTGAGCATGAGCATTTAAAACTTTCAAGAAGTATTGCAAACAATCACCACACCCTCAAGTCACAGATAAAACATTTTGTAGAGCTTAAATACATACGTTTCTGGCACGAAACATTTCTCATTGCTGGCAAAATTTCCTTGCAATTTCTGGCAATAGAATACTTTTGAGTTTAGAAATCATCTGTAGAGTAATATTGTTTTATTTATTAAAAATAATTCTCCATCTTACCTTTTAGCAGAGGCAGGGGAGTTAACTCGATAGGCTTGCCCTGAGACCTAAACTGGGAGGAGCTTTGCGACCTCTTCTGTCTGGCTTTTCTGACGGACTTCCGAGAAAATCCGTCTACTTTATCCACTGATGGAGGAGTAGTTGGTGCTGAGGACATATCCCTACTGAAGGAAAACAAATGTTACAAACATATTCCAAATGGAAGAAAGGGGTAAAGACTAACCTAAATCTTCAAAAAATCCTTCTCTTTCTGCACTGCTCTCCCACTGACAAGTCACCCAGACAGAGTGTTAAGAGAGTTAACTCACAACACACGTGCAAGTTGTATAGAATAAACTTCATGGAACAGTGTAATAATTTTTCTCGCCTACTCTTTCACCTGTGTCTCCCATTTGCCAAAAATCCTGCAGCGGGAAGAATTCAGACCTAATGCTGACATCATTACATCAACAGAATTTCACACACCTGCAGATTTGACATAGGCCTTAAACTGTATGTTCTTTGGGATGAAGTAATTTCAACTCATTCTGTAAGGCACCATGCATGCTAAAGCATGGGTCCACAAACAGGTACAAATATTTTTTTGGCATCAAAGTCATCAATATGCATACAGCCAAAAAAAATAGGACAGAAGAAAAGCTCATTTATTTGCCACACCTGCATACAAGGTAGAAATACAAGAAAGTACAGGAAAAAAGTACTGCTATTTTCACAATTTCACTAACACTGACAAATTTTATACGTTCTCTCTTTATTTTCATTTTTTAGAAATACTCAGTTATTTCCTTGTGAATCTCTTTATACGTAGTTATTCCACGTTCTGACATTTCTGTAAGAATAGCTGTGTGGTAGCCATAACTGTTCTAAGGGCAGAAGCCAGACAATGTTTGCAGGGAGAGGCAGAGAGCCAAAAAAAGATTTCTGCAAGCAAAAGTTTGTTTGTTTCCCAACTCGATCAGCTGGTCTAAGAAATAAGCATTGCTTCTTCCCATAAAACTTGCCTCGGTAGTGCTCCTGTAGCTGATTCCATACTTCTAAGAAATACCAAAAGGAACCATTTAAATAGTGAATTAATCCAGCCAGCTATTGTATTTCCTAGTCGTCTTCTCTCCGTTAAAAAGGCCCGTCACATCTTGGTAAAATACATGAGTAATACTTCAGGGAAACAACACAGGAGGAATTCAGGCCTACATATTTCAAGCAGCTCTGTGTACAGTTAACTTCACCAGCATTTTTTTGACTGAAATCAACAGAACCATCGGCGTTAATAACGGGATCATTACCAAGAGCAGCTCTGTTGATTTCAGTAAGGCTACAGAGTGGTGCAAAGTTAAGCATCGGCATAAGCATTTGCAGGATCAGGGTCTTAGAGCACGTCCTTGGAAAGCATTACTCATCCTCAGTGTCTGTTGACTTCAATTACCAAAGTGACTCGTATGCTAAAAGAAGTTGATTCCACAATATAGAGAACACTTTCGAGTACTTATTTTATTAAAATAATTGGTTACTCATACGCTCCGTAAATTATTAAATTCATTGAAACAGGCATTATTTGGGTTTGCCTTTTGCAAGGAAAGCTTTAGGAAGTACGATTTATTGCAACAGTGTAAACAAGTTCCAAAACAGAAGAACTATTTCATGCAAAATATGGGCACTAAATCTATCAAAAATGGAAGTACAAACTCCATAGCTTCTTCGAGGAAGCATGTGCAGCACCCAGAAGCTGAACTGTGCAGCTGGCATTACAATAATGAAAAAACGTTACTCCATCTTTTTTATTTCTCCTGAGGTATTCTTTCACTACCAGCTTAGGCTTTCTAAATATAATATACTATCAGCAACATGAACCTGTGCCTTAAACTGGTCTTGTTTATCATCCGGGGGGGGGGGGGAATGCCACTATCAGCGGGGCAACTATCAGCAACATGAACCTGTGCCTTAAACTGGTCTTGTTTATCATCCGGGGGGGGGGGAAATGCCACTATCAGCAGGGCATTCAGTCCCCAGACAAGATTAATAAATAAAGAAGTCAGATAAACTGAAATAGAATGGCCTGTACTTTAGCAACCCACTTCTAAGATTTCAACAGTCCGCCAAAAAACATAACATAAAGTTACCTGTTACATAAACCGAAATGCTGGAAATATCAGCAAAAAAACCCAAACCCCATAATTCTTAAAACCTGAATCACTTGGCCCCATTTCATCTCGTCAAAAAGATTCCCCTCCTCATCACGTGTATCATGAAAGTGTAACCGTTTCTGCAGAAACGTTTGCACGCTCTCTCAAAATTAAATTACCAAAAAAAAAAAATAATAAAAAAAATAATAATGGACAGGGACTAAAGTAGATCACTTAAACTGCAGGATCATTGTGTCAGCAAGAAGCTTTACTGACACTTCCCCGCTGTAAATTTAGTAACAGTTTTCCCTAACCTGCTTTATAAATTATTAAAATCTAATTCTAATTCAACAAGACTACATCCAGCCTAACAACCTTACAGTAAACACTGATCTTTTTTTTTTTT